GCTCAAATATTATTACTGGAGACATAAACTATCAGTTGTTTTCCTTATAGTGACAAGCTAAGTTCATTTTTGAGAAAATATCTGCCAGATACTCAAGTCTGAATAACCATAGTTTATCAGTCAGTTGTTCTTTTCAAATAAAAATGGTGTTCCACAAAGGGCCTAGTTCAGCTCAGACTCAATTACACAAGTATTTCCTCTCAAGACAACCGTTGTACTTTGTGATATAGAAGTGCTTTATTTTGCACTTCCCATTTTATTACACAGAATATTAAAAAGATAATACTCAAGAGTTGAGATTTAATAAAATAATTTTACTGCTTTATCAAGGACATTATTTGTTTAGAATTTAACTGGTGTTTTCTCCAAATCTATAGATATAACCATATTTTTTTCTTTCGATCTGTCAATATAGTGAAAAACATTTATGAATAAAAAATACTAAATTATATTTACATACCTGTGATAAATCCAAATTGGTCATCATGTATTATTATTAGAAGACTCTGTTGGATTCAGTTTACTATTATTTTATTTAGGATTTCTATACTTATAGTCTTAAGTGAAATTAACCCCTGAACATTTCATTTCTTGCATTTTTTTTTTTTTTTTTTTTGCTTTGGTTTGACTTTTATCAACCCATAGAATGAATTGGGAAGTTTTATTTCTTTTTCTATTCTCTGGAACAATTGTAAGAAAATTAGATGATCCATAACTTGCTGAAACTAGCCTGTAAAACCATGAGCATCTGATAAATATATATATATTTTTATTTGGGAATATCTTTAACCGCTGCTTCAATTCTTCTGATAGTTATAGGACTACTCAATGTTTTCATTTCTTCTTGAGTCAGCTCTGGCAAGTCACATTTTTCCAGGGATTCATTCATTTTGTTGAAATGTTAAAATTTGTTGGCATATTGATGTTGGTATTCTCTTATAATCATTCTAATCTTGATTTTGTCTCTCTTTTTTTCTTCATTGTAGTGTTTGTTTTTGTCTTCTCTCTTCTTCCTTTGATCAACCTTTCAGATGTTTTTCCACTTTATTATTTTTTCTTATTATATTTTCTATTTCATTGATTTCTACTCCCAATTCCTTTGTCTCCTTTCTTCTATTTTCCCTGAAGTCATTTCATTGTTTATTTGTTCCAGAGTTCTAAGATGGATATTTAGCTCAAAAAACATTACACTTTCTTTCTTTCTAATGTAATTACTTAACACTGTAATTTCCCTCAAAGCACCATGCTTGCCATATCTACAAGTTTTGACATGCAGTGTCTTTATTATCACCCAGTTCTAGATATTTCCATTTTGATTTTTTTTTCTGACCTTGAGTTATCTAGTAGCATGCTTCCAAATGTCCAAACATTTGGGGGCTCTCCATTCACCTTTCTGTTATTAACTCCCAAACCAATTGGCCAGTTGTGATCAGAGACTATACTATGCTTAGGCCATATATTCCTTGAAATTTGTTGAGATGTTCTTTATGGCCCAGTATATGATTCATTTCTACAAATGTTCAATGTGTGCTGGAGAATAATATTCACTTTTTGATTGTAGGATGCAGAACTCTGCATAAGTCTAGATCAAATCTGTCAACCATGCTGTTTAAATCCTCCACAGTTGCACCAACCCTCTGTCCACCTGATTCACCAATAGTCAAGAGAGGGCTGGTGGTGATCCTGTCAATTTCTCCTTTTGATTATGCCAAAGTTACTTAATATATTTTGAGACTACTTTTTTAGGTGCATACAAACTTAAAATTGCTTTATTTTAGTGACTTAAGTAGTGACCAGGCATACCCATGCTTTTGGGGACTGAAGTTATATAGTTTGGGGGTCCCATGTAAGAAAAAAGAAAAACATATTACAAAGAAAAAATTAAGTAAGGGCCTTGGAGGCTCCTGGGTGGTGTAAATGTTTTGCACTGTACTACTAATCTAAAAGTTGATGGTTTGAACACTTTTGGGGACACTGGAAGAAAGGCCTGGCAATCTGCTTCTGTAAAGATTACAGCCAAGAAAACTCTATGGAACAGTTCTACCCTGTAACACATGCAGTTGCCCTGACTTGGAATTGACTCTATGGCAATGGTTTTTTTTTTTAAGGGCCTTGGAAGGGGCCCCTGCAAAAAAGGGATAAACTTCATTTGACTCACAATGTCTTGGAAAATTTCATATTTTGCCTTGGGTAGAAACACCCTCAATTCTTTTTTTTTTTTTTAATTGTGCTTTATATGAAAGTTTACAGAACAAATAGTTTCTCATTAAACAGTCAGTACACATGTTGTTTTATGACATTGGTTAACAACCCCATGACATGTCAACACTCTCCCTTCTCAACCTAGGAAGACCTTTTTTTTGGGCAGGGGAATGTACATAGCCAAAGTTACACCATTTTGAAAGTTTCTACATGTACAATTCAGTGACATCGATTACATTCTTCCAGTTGTGCTGCTATTCTCAATAATATTTTCCAAATTATTCCATCACCGTTATCTTCAACTCTGCCCCTGAGGCTTCCCATCAAACCTTTTGAGTTGCTGTTGTCAATTTGATCTCACGTAGATGATTCTTTTCTTTTTTGTACCTTAGATGAAGGTTTACAGAACAAATAGTTTCTCATTAAACAGTTAGTACACATATTGCCCTATGACAATGGTTAACAACCTCACTGCATGTCAACATTGTCCCTTCTCAAACTTGGGTTCCCTATTACCAGCTTTCTTGTCCTCTCCTGCCTTCTAGTCCTTGTCCCTGGACTGCTGTACCTCATTAGTCCCATTTTGTTTTATGAGGCTGTCCAATCCCCGACTGAATGGTGAACCTCAGGAGTGACTTCACCACTGAGCTAAAAGGGTGTCCAGGGGCCATACTCTCGGGGTTTCTCCAGTCTGGTCTTTTTGTGTGAGTTAGAATT